TATAAACACCAGCACATATCAGTCTCTGGTGTTTATAGCTTCAGAGCAAACAAAACACATCATTCATAACAGAAACAGCTCGCAATAGCCACAGGAACGTTGCTGCAAGACAGGCATATGTAACGACGACTTAGCGCTCTTAAACGCGTGTGTCATTAAATACAGTCCTCCTGACAACAGGCCAGTGAAAAATCTAACAATCTACAGCAAAACCATCAATTATTATGGGCGTTATAACATACGTGTGCAGCTGGACGAAACATACACGTCGAACCCCCCCAGACGATTTAAATCCCTGACGAAACATACACGACGAACCACGGCAACGGGTTAAACCATTCATCTTTTCAGTCTTTATAGTAGCTGCCTCCCAGGACATCCAGCCACTAATATTTGCTTCTATTTATGGCTTTTTGCAGTCTGAGCTACATGTCCTGCCCTCCATGATGACCTAGATCTGACCACTCTTAAGAATATGAGGTTGCCTGTGTAAGTCAAGAAGTTCCTCACTGATATCCTTTGTGCCTCCCTTTTAGAACCAAATATTTTTCCAAGCATTTTGTCTCAAGACACACTTGTAATAATTCATATCAGTGGGTGATAATTTCAGTGACGTTTTCTGGTATAATCCTCCATCTCAAGCAGAAACAGATTTCCAGTGTTTCAGAAATGTCTCTTTCTCTGTCATCAGGGATATGTTATAGTGGAATGGATTTCCATTTTGGAAACTTAAGTGTTTCCAACATCAGTGATGAATTAAGATGGAAAGAATTTTCGTTTTGGAAACTGCCATGGGCTTCATCATGGACTTTCCCTGGTGATGGAGACTTTGACAGCTTCTGAAATGAAAATTTGCTCCATCTTGACATGGCTGACTGCTCAAGGAGTTGCCACAAAAGCTTGAAATGTAATGCAGATGATACAATAATTATTTAATTTCCTGCTCTCTCATCATTGTGCTTGCAGATGGACATCACAGGGATGAATTACCTCACTCAGGAGCGTAATGATGTGATCGTGAATACAGATGTTACTAAAGTATCTCTGAATTGCAATGGACACTGGATGGCTACAGTGGAACAGCGCGATGATGGAGAAACTAATATGGAGGTCCGCCTTAAATTCTGGCATTATGACAATGTGAAACAAAGGTAAGTAAGAGTGTTGTGTTAATGACAAAAGGTTTGGCCATCGACACAACAGTATTTAATTAAATAAACCAAGTTTACACTTAACTGTTTTATTTCAGTGGCTACTGCATGTTTCAGTCCTCATAGGACCATCATCAGGTAGTTCTACAAATACATCTGTAGTTAATTGAAAGCCTAATGGATCCATAGTGGAGCAATACATAACAGTCATATGATGCACTCTTGTATATGCCATAAAGTTAAAATGAGTGTACATTAAAATAATGTTGCATGTTAAAATTTTAGTGTTAAAAAAGTTGTGTCCTTGTAATACTAGAAAATGTTACGTAGGACATGTCCATGTTAAACAGTACTATGCCAGAGGGTGAAAGTGATTATTATATGTTACTTAAGTTATTATTACTTAATTTTAAGTTGTATGTTATATTAAACTAGATATGTAATTACTTACATAATTATGAGTATATATAAAGATTAGTGCAGTATCCATAGTTCTTCCGTGTGACTTCTAAAATATATCATCATGTAAGTATTATGTATGAATGAGGTATGTAAATTTAAGTAAATGTGTGTATATATTATTATATTTATGTAATTAATATAACACGCAACTTAAATAACACGTATCTTGAAACCTTTAAGGCTTTGTGGGAGTATTGTATTGAGTGATAAAATGTATGTTTTGTTTTACTCTTAAGCATTTGTTTGAAGCATTTTCATCTCATAAATATTTAGTCAAATTATGTTCAGAATGTGCATAAGAGGGCACATATAGCATGTGCTATTGTTGTTTGATTTTGACCAAAATTGGAATATACTGATGAATTTTAGTAAACCTTCCCAATATCAATTAATGTAATGCAAATCCTTTCAATGGTTCTCAAGCACTTACATGAGGACAGACAGCCATTTAGATGTAGAAAAACATGGATAGGCACATTATTGCAACGTTTGTTGCATCTGCTCCAAAAACATCAATATCTACAGTAATGCTATGACACATTCTACCATGCAGTTGGTATGAAATGTTGTATTCTGATTTTTGTTTTTAGTTTCTCTTTGAACACATCTGTGGAGCTGCCTCACCAGGGAGGAGTCACAGCATTAGCATTCCAACCATCTCCAGATCCACAGCAACAGTTGGCAGTAACTGCTGGCAGAGATTTCAGATTTCGCATTTGGGGCCTTGTAGAGTCTACCAACATTTACAGTACGTACAGGTGTTTCATTTTCTGTTATTGAAAGCCTGTGTTCCCCAACCAAGGTCTTCAGACCAGTTGTGATCAATGAATGTCTTGCGTGGGTGGTCTGTGCAGGTTTGTAATGCAGTTCTTGTCCATATTTGTGTGTGCATGCATATTTTCACTGAGAAAAGTTCATTAGAACTACTCCTTGTTATTTATTTATATATATATATATATATATATATTTAATTCAATTATATGTATATATTTGTTGCAGAGAAAGGAATTATGGTCTGGAGGTGTGAAAGTGTGGGCTTCTTCAGAAATCTGCCAGCTAGAGATATAAGCTTTTCTGCTGATGGCTCCCTCATGGCTGTAACATTTGGTCCTACGCTCACTTTATGGGTGCCAGAAACCAATCAACTCAAGTGTAGTCTCACTGATATACACTCTCAGACAAACCTCAGGTAAGTCATGAGGAGAGTGGCCTATGTTTGGGATGACACTATAAGGAATATTTTTGTATAACAGAAATTATTTCATTCTGTGTTGCAATGCCATATAGTTTGGAGACAGCCCAATGTTTCAGAAGACCATATTGCCTCGATCTTCGGGCTCAAATAGCAGACGTAGCTCATCTGGCCACCTCCTGGCTGTTCCTTGCTTGTCTTGCTCTTTGACTGTGAAGATGGATGCAGTATGTTCCTCTGAAACATTGGGCTTTCTCCAGACTAAACAACATTACACACAGAAGGCTGTGCTGTAGCTCAGGCAGTCAGTTACTGGCTTTCAACTGCAGATGGTGGGCAAAGCTGGCACTGGATGCTGGATTTTCTCTGGGTACTTCAGTTTCTCATTACATCAACTGTTCCACATTCATTAATCATCTAATCATCGACACTATATAGTCTTGGTACTGACTGACCAGCTCCATGGAGCTGAGACCTTGAGAAGCTGCCAATCACTCAGATACTCAAGAATTTCCCATTATTTTATGGAACCCAAAGTTCATTACCATATTAACAAGAGCCCTCCACTGGTCCCCATCCTGAGCCAGATTAGTCCAGCCCATACCACCCTATCATATCTCTTTTAAGATCCATCTTAATATTATCCTCCCACCTATGTCTATGTCTTCTTTCATTCTGGCGTTCCCACCAATATCCTATGTGCATTCCTCTTCTCCCCCATTCGTGCAATATTCCCTTCCCATCTCATCCTCCTTGACTTGATCATTCTAATTATAATTGGCAAAGGGTACAAGTTGTGAAACTCCTCATGATGCAGTTTTCTCCAACCTCCTGTCACCCCATTTCTGTTTGGCCCAAATAATCTCCTGAGTACCCTGTTCACAAACACTGTCAGTCTGTGTTTCTCCCTTAATGTCAGAGACAAAGTTTGACGTCTGTACAAAACCACAGGCAGAATTATAGTTCTGTATTTTTTTTAATTTTTAATAAGAAACAACAAACAGACTTACAAACCTTGAAGACCATACCATTCTAGTCACTGCCATGTGAAACTCAAATCCAACATGTTCCATTCTTGCTTCATTCCTTGTATCAGCCCCTGGGGTTATGTTATGTAAGGTAAGGTATTAAATTGTTGCAGTCATATCTCTAGAATCTGTCCACTGTTTGCTGTCTGTTCTTATGCTGGTATATTTCAGAATGCTTTCCTGTTCTTTTATACTCAGTGTCTTATTTTGTCCCACTGTTTCTCTGGGTGAAACCATGTGGAATCATGTATCTCAGCTTGGTGAATGTAATAGTGATGTGGTGTATATCACATGTTACAGAAGAGAAATTGAATTTTAACTTACTACTCAATAGGCTAAAATGCTAAATGTCTGTGTATAACTTGGGTCAGGGGAAGAATTAACAGAGATTCTCCTCCCCAACCCAACTTACCTATCAAGCAGCTACCCCCACCCTATGTGCTTTTTCCACACTCCTACCACTGCCATTTGTTTTCCCTCCACTCATTCCTGTCTTTGTATTGTAGGCTTGTAAGTCATTCTGTGCTGGTGCATCACATGTAACTTTATGGTGATTTTTAAATGGTTACAGTATATGAGGGTCAGTCAAAAAGTTCCCGGAATGGAGGTATAGCACTCTAATGGTAGGACATACCGCAACGCTTACTTAATCACCTTCAAAGTAGGACTCTTGCGCAGATACACACTTGCTCCATCGATCCTGCAATTGTTGGAGCAGTGGTGGAAGGCTTCTTTTGGAATCTTCCGGGGCTCAGCCGTCACATTCAATTTGATGTCCTCCATGGTTGAAGCCCATTTTCAGGGTAGGGAAGAGCCAAAAGTCACTCGGAGCGAGATCCAGAGAATACGGTGGTTGAGTGATGACAGGAATGTTTTTCTTGGCGAGGAATTGCTGCACAACAAGCAATGTGTGGCTTGGTGCATTATCGTGAAGCAGAAACCACTGTCCCTGCCACTTGTCACACTGCTTCCTCCAAACTGCATCGCGCAACCTCTGCAAAACGTGCACGAAGAAATGGCCAGTAACAGTACCAACTTCTTGCTCCAACTCCACGATGGTCATTCTTCGATCACATCGAATCAGTTGTCGTACTTTTCCAATAATTTCTTTGGTTCTGAATGTCGAAGGTCTCCCGCTGCGCTGGTCATCCTCTAACGTCTCCTGCCCATTCTTAAACCAGGAAAACCATTCATAAACTGCAGATTTCTTTAGCGGAGTATTACCGTAAACTTGCTGCAGTGCCAATACCGTCTCTGAAGCAGTTTTCCCAATTTGCACATGAACTTGATGTTCACATGCTGTTCGAACTGCAACATTGCAATGGCTGAGAGGCAGCTTGTTATTAATGAATGTTATGTTAAAATGCATATGAAGGGAAGTGATTGTAGACTGTTTTAATTCTGTAATAGTGCTCAGACAGGCCATAACCACTGCCTCCATATCCATCTCTACACTTATAATCGTCCTGCTGTCTCTCATTCAGTGCTACATAATGTAAGAACTCAAACAATTTATCAGTAAAAAACAATTGAGATAAAATGAAGTAATAAATTTATTTATTTATATTTTTAAGTGCTTTATAAGTCAGATTAATGTCAACTGATTGGATGGTAGTGAATAATGAATTGGAAACCATGTGGAAGGAAGCAATCCTGGTCTAATTTTGAGATACTAATCCACCATTTGCCTGGCGTTACTGAGTAAGATCACAAAAAGAAGACCTCAGTCAGGATTGTTAGTGTCCCAACCAAGATTCAAACCAGGTGCTACTGTTCAATCCAATTTAATCAGCAGGTGCCTGATGATGCAGTTGTCAAATACAGAAATGCATGGGATGTGTCACAAAGAACTTCAAAGTGCTCTACCAATATATGCATAGGTAGACTGAGGAAAAACATGAAGAATGTCAGGATTCCAGCCAAGTATAAGATAGACATTAAACACAGAGCTGCACTGTTGAAACAGTTAAATAGGACATCTGAGGTTCCCATGGCAGTGAAGTTTAGCATTTTAAATTTTCCGTTACATTTTTACAGTGGAATCAATCTGGGTGATTAAAACTGAAATGGAACTTTGTTTTTTCTGCAAATATAATTTGATATTTCAGGGCTGTATGAGATAAAAAATTTGACCTTAAAATTTGATTTGGTTCATCCTGATCCGTCACACTAGCAGTAGTATAAAAGATTATAAAATCCATCCAGTGTGATTGATGAATGCATGATAAATGACATGAACCAAATTGGTTCAAGATTTTAACAAAGTATTTAAACCACAATTATAAACAAACTGATTATAATCACTTATAAATATTTTAATAAATTCAGGCATATCACTGTAGTTATATTCATGACATTGTAATGGTATTGTATGTATATACTGATAATGATCGATCACATTGTAATAGTAGTATCCATAAGTACTGATATGTCCTTCTGAAGATGGTCGCTTCGACTGAAAAACGTCAAGGATGAAAGGTTGCAAAGGAGAAAAATCATTTATTAATCACACTGGATGGACTTGATAATCTTTTATACTTGACTTTAAAAGTGAAGACTCTGTACATGTTTCTACTCCACCTGTTAATGTGTTATGTAGCCATTTGACACCGTAGCCCCTATTTTTAATAATATTGCTGCATTGTGCTCTTTTTTTTTCCATTCTTAACATAAAGCAATGTATATTACAGCCATGTGGAGTTTGGAATGGTGGACTGTAGTCACCTGGTAGTAACGGGCAGCCCGGTGAATATTAATGTGTGGAATTTGCTGACATTGTCTCTTATCTGGAGGGTTCCTGTTCATGTCAACATACTAACAGCTGATCCATGTTCAGAATTCATGGCAGTATTCACATCCAGTAATGACTGTAAGTATTAGCCATAGTAATTTTTTGTTGTTTTCCTTTTTATATGGTGACGCGACAGCTGGAGGCCGGAGTAGAGGCACTCATTGCTATGCAGCAGAACAGTAATCATGTTTCCACAGAAACAGATACTGACACAACAGTAAAGGATGTGATGTTTTTTATGTGGCCATTGATAGACATCAGACTACCTCTGCGGTCTAATGATCAGAGTTCCTGGCTACAGATCTCAAGGTCCCAGGTTCGATTCCCGGTGCTACCAGATTTTCTGAGAAGTAGTGGGTCTGAAATGGGGTCCACTCAGCCTCATGAGGATAATTGAAGAGCTACTTGAATGGAAAAGTAGCGGTTCTGGTCTAAGAAACCAAGATTAACAGCCATGGGAATCTGTTGCGTCGACCATGCAGCACCCTCTGTCTTGAAAAGTGGGCACTAACTTCGCTGACAACTGGTAAGCCTTCACTCAGTATAGTTCACTTGCAGACTAAAGCCATGGAGTTTTATTGCTAGGCAACAGCATGGTAAACACATTTCTGAAGTAGAGGAGCTGTTGGAAACAATATTTTCTGCGTAGCCTACTCCAAGGCTATATAACAAGGATCAGCAGCAGCAGTTGAGAGAGTTTTGAATCCCAGGTGAGCATGGCAGTTCATGGTTGGCTGTGAGGAATCTCCATTGTTAGCTGCCACTACCTAGCAATGACTAGTTATGGCAGACTAACAAATGGAAGGCTTTATGCCTGCTATAGTTGTAGTGATTTGTAAGAGCATGTAGATTAGTGAGTTATATAATTTGTAATTAACAAGATATGAATGTCAGTAAATCCAGTAACCAATCCAAGCACCGTTTATAGTCACTAACACGTGAAAACTGGCGACAATGTTATTAGTGCCAGGCTCATGATATGCCACTGTTTGTTAATATGTATATCTTTGTGTGTGAGGGTGTGTGGACTTTTACAGGTATTCATGTCCACATGGAAGAATGTGGAAGTATAGGAGTATATTGTTTCCTAGTAATTTTTAAACCAGATCCCTTTTTTCCATTGTTTCAGTATATCAGGCAGGGCAAAAGCACACACAGTTCTTGTGCTCTACTCTACTACGTACCGCATACAGTTAATCTACTGTATTTTTATTTTTAGTGTTTGTATTCTCTCCGAGATGCTCGAAACCGGTGTACATGCAAGAGGCCATTGTTCCTGTTAACTGCTCTCTCTTGTGTGCTGCATTTGTCCCCCATTTTGGTTTAGAGAGGACATCTGGAATTTCATGGCAAGAGCATTCACAACTTTACTTTCTGGACTCTAGTCAGGTAAACCCTTTTCTTTTTTGTGTTTGCGATAGTATCTCATTCAAGGGAAAAAAGACAACATTATCCCTGTGCTTAATTAATTAGGCACTATGCCACAAAGATGTATGGGGGAGTAGAAGCATTGCGCCACCTTTCTTGTCCTTGGCACTAAATGGTGGTGAGCAGTCATCTTCGTGCCTCTGCCGCTTTACCCCAGGTACCCGTTGGATAAGGGGCTGGGTTGGCCCCAGAGTTGGTCTGGATGCTGCAGAGAAGAGAAGAATCTTGCACTGCTGAGAATTGAAATCAGGCCATTCATCCTGTCACTATACCAACTGAGCTATCCTGGTGAAAATATCGAAAATTTTTAACCAAAGGAGAAAGATGTTTGTGAACACTTCTGAAATGATGGAAGGATTGTTTTGGAAGATCATATTCTGTAAGACTGTGGTCACTAACTAACTAAATAACTAAGTCATTGCATGGAGGAGATTCAGCTGGTCAAGAAATTTTGTGCCTTGTATGGCACACAAAGGTTTATTTCTCTTGTCACAAGGTCCTGAACTCTACTGATGTACAGAAATGCTACACCATTTAATATACCTCCTGGACTTGATTAGGTGTAGCTTAATTATGCACTTAAACATAACAGTTCAAATCGTTATATTATTCTTATCTGGCTAAGTACACACTTGAGTCACTTTGATTTTGCAGTTGTGCCATTTTGTGTTTTCTTAATATTGTGGCATGTAGACCCATTGCTAGGCAATGACTCCAAAGTAAGTAACTATACAACAGTCATTGCTAAGTAATTGCTCCACAAATGACCATGTTTCCATGGCCACAAGAGAATACAGCAATAATGGAAGAGGCATTTTCTATGCAGCCCATGATGAGATGTTATAAAGCAGGAATAGCTGGCAGTTGTAGTCAGAGGACTGCTGCAGTTCAGTCATTGTGAGCTATTGCTGTTAGAAGCTGGTAGCTGAGGGTGTGGACAGTTCAGGAACCCAGAGGACGGGAAACCTCCACTGTTGGAAGCTGTGTGCATGAGAGAGAGACAGCAAACTGTAAAGTGTGGTCACGCTCTGTATCAAAGAGTTCACTCAATCTGGGATCATGTGACGATGGGCATTCATTCATTCATCAGTAGTCATCAGTAATCTGTCGTCTTGTAATCTGTCAAGACGACAGGTCAACAGTCTCTTCCAAAATAGTTCCTCCACTTAATGTGATCTAGAGCTTTCTCCTTCAAATGAGAATATCCTCTTCTGTCCCCAAGGTCATCCAGCATCTTCTTAGGTCTTCTTCCTCGTTTTCTGGCCACCTCTATCCAGCCCTCTGTCTTTCCTTCAGTAACTTCTTTTAGAAGGCAGTTAGATAGGCATTATAATGAATTAAGTGATGTGCTGTGGTCCAGTATTTCTCTGCCAATGGGACTTCAGATTCTGCTGGTTGGGACATGAGAACTGAAAAATAAGAACTTCTCTTATTGATAAATATCATACTAAAGTGTATGCCTATGGAAAAGAGAAGGTTAGCGTTTGCTACTCATATCTTGGGACTACAATTTTGTAATAAAACAACCAGTGGAAGGCAAGGTGTGGAAGGTTGATGTACACCACATTTGATGATGTTTATTTGAATTGTATAAATGCAAATAACCCTGCACTGAAGTGTCCATTTTTTTGGGCAGAACATCTCTTAACAAATTATAGAGTGAAATTATGTAAGATTTCAGATTGGTGGCTCTGATTTGAAACATGCTTCTTTATCCCATTAGGAGTTGCTGACATTAGAGAGACCTTGTGAAGATGCAAATGAAAAGGAAGGACTAGCTTTGCCAATTTCATCTCTTCAGCCAGCTACATTTTTCAGCACATTCTTGGCTAAACATAGGACTTCAGACGTGGAGAAACTGCGTGTTAACACCGAGCAACAACTTGGAGTTCCAGGTGCTACTGCCCTCAGAGAGGTAGGATTCTACAGTTTTGTCTTAACACTAGAATCTATTCCATTGTGTCAGTTCTAATTGTAGTATATTCTAGTTTGCTTTGCCATCAGATACAGTGTGTTCATATTGTACTAGAAGCACAAGAAAATAAATTTCTTAAAAAACGTGGTAAAAATGAGCAAATGAGTTTTATAGAATATGAAAATATCTATTTGGCTCACCTCAGTCATTAGACTGACATATGTTTTCCATTTTGAATATTAAAAATAAGCACTTTTACATTCATATTACAGACTGTTTGAAAGTGTCAGATTTTTAATTAATGAGGTCCGCATAATGGCCACCAACATCTACAGATATGAGTTTGATTACCATGTTTAATACAAACCTGAACAGAGTGTACAAAAGCTAGCCATTTCAGACTTCGTTTACTGCACAGAAAATAGCTAGCCTTTCATATAACAGCATCACCTAAAATTAGCCATTTACCAGTGGAAATGATGGCCTCAAACCATGATTCAAGAAGACAGGAATCCTAAGTTTTGCACTAAATTAATTGGTAATGTCTGTTGTAAAACCACGTATGACGGTTAATACTCACATGTATAAGAATATTTTGTCACACGTATCTGTGACTAAAGATTGGTAATTGGTTTTATTAACCACCCATAGGTCATAACTGCAATTAATTACTGCACTATTGTTGATTTACATAATTTACAATCACTCCACACTAATCTCAGTCTATTTCCACTAGTCTTCACTATCCGTTTCGTGGCAATGGATTTATGACACAGGAACTGCAAAAGTCTCACTAAATTACACACTCCCAATATCAATATGTATCGATGTAACATCACACAAAGTCATCTAATTCTTCTTGTGGCCATACTGGTGTTCCCTTGGAACTTTGGAACTCAAGCGAAGTCCATCTGTTGCTCACTTCTCCAGCTCATGACTCCTGCAAATGACCTACATTGCCCCCTATAAACCTATGGTGTGGACCTACAGAAAATGCACCACATGGTTGCTATCCACTGTTGTGTGATGTCACTGCCTACATGGAAGTGTGTTTACTAAGCTGTTTAGAAACGGGTTGCATAACCCCATTGTTCCACCGCTGTTTGACATGGATGAGATAGAAAAAACAGCCTCATCCATTGTTGCATGTTGGACCATGTCTACAGAGCTGTTGTCTGGCAACACCTTGATCAGATCCTTTATATTGCTCCCTCCTTAAGGCTGCTTGTCTCAAGTAGCCTATTGGTGCACCACCTGTTCTTCCTTTCCAAGGTCTCTGCTTGGTTTCATCTCACCTTCCTTCCCTTTGCTCTTTTTTTTTTTCTTTCTCTCCCATTGTGTTAATTCTTCGAGCACTACCATTGCCCTGTCCTTAAGGCTGCTCACCCCAAGTGGCTCACTGCTGAGGTGCAGTAGATCCAGGTGTATCTTCATCATCCAAAGTTTTTCTTGCTTTTTCCAACTGGTGGGGCAAAATTACCTAGAATGGCTAGTTTTCCCACATATCCAACTCTTCTTATGCTAACATTGCTAGTAGGTTTCTTCTTCCATTTTGGAAGAGGGCGACCTCTCCACAATGCCCAGTCCTTGATTTTCTGCTCTGGAGGGGGCCGACCCTTCCACAAGGTTAGTTCCTCATTTTCCACAAAACACTGGACATATTGGTTGCTCGCTTCATGAACTCCATTCCAATGGCCTTCCTGAGAGTCTCGGTAACATTTTCCATGCTTTCCTATCATAATTTCTTCAGGTCTTGTTTCCTCAGATATCACAGTCATCCACCACATAGGTCCTTCACTCCCTTTCTGCCTTTGTGATGCATCCGCACTCTCTCTTTAAGCATCCATACTGTCCGGATCCCTCGTTCATCCTTGGCTCTGGTCCACTTATTCCTGACAGTGTTCCTTTTTGTACCATGCCACCCTTGCACAGTGGGACACTTTCTTACAGGTAGCAGCCAACTTCCTCCCAGATTCACAGTCTCCATATGTGAGTTCCTTTGGCTCTCTGCATTGCTTTCCAGCTAGCCTCTGGTCCCTATGCCACTTCCTGAGTCCTCCAACAGGTTTCACCGCAACACATTCCTTAGGGACCTCCCAGTGTTCAGCCCTGGACTCCATTTCCTCAGGATTTGCCTTCAGATCTGTGGTCTTGCTTACTTCTCGGATGGCCTGCATCTGTTTTCACCAGCCATTCAGTTTGGCAGCTAGAGAAGCAAACTGCATTTCCATTATTTCTTTAATGTGTTCTTGGCTGGCTCTTATTTTTTGTTTCATTTTGTCTCTGTTGGTTTTTCTGGCAGCCTCCATTATGGAGACTAGTGAACCTATCTGCTTCTCCATCGTTCTTTCATTTGGCTTCCATCCTCTCTTGCGTTGCTTTGGTATTGGCATCCATCCTTTCTTGGGTGTCATCCACTTTGGTGTTCATTTCAGCCAGCATAGCTTTCAGGAATTCCATGTTTTCCATTTTTATTGGATGGCACTGTAAAATAGATCCTCGTTCCAATACTTGATCATTCCGATCCATTTCATACCACTTCTGACACCAGTTGTCACATGTATCAGTGACTAAAGATGGGGTTCAGATTTGTAGTTGGTTTTATTAACCACCTACAGGTTGTAACTACAATTAATTATTACACTATTACTGATTTACACAATCTGAAATCACTCCACACTAATCTTCTCAGTCTCTTTCCACTCTTCTATAACACAGGAACAATAGAAGTCTCACTAAATTATACACTCCCAGTATCAATGTACTACAGCACATGTAACATCACACTAACATAAGTAATTAGCGCCCTCCGTAGTCTAGGGGTAACGTTCCCACCTCGTGACTCAAGGTACACGGGTTCAAACCCGGCGGAGGTCGTGGAATTTTTAAGGGCAGAAAAATTCAGGGAACAAGTCCTCCGGGAGGGACTTTAAGGTGTGGGTCCCGTGTCATAGCTTTACGGCACGTAGAAGAACCTCATGTCCCAAGGGGACCTCTGAGCGAAATTCAGGACATTTCCCACCCAACAGTAGTCTCTAGCGCCTCTGGTAGATGGGGGAAGCATCGAGATACCGCTGAGCCAGTAGAGGCTGAACTCACTGGCTGAGTCGGGACTGATGGCACGCACCAGTACCGGTAGGGAATAGAGACTGGTAGAATATCACAGGGGGACGCACAATGGACCAATATCTGGTCTAAGTGCATGGGGAAACTCACCCTCTCCAATAACAACAACAACAATATAAGTAATTTAATTCTTCTTCTGGCCACACTGCTGTTCCCTTAGAATGTCAGAACTCACTCCTCCAGTTTACAACTGCGTGCAAATGACCTACATTGTCCACTGTTGTGTGACATCACCACCTACGTGGAAGTGTGTTGGCTGAGCCATTGCTTATAAACAGGTTGCATAACAACATAGAAAAAACAGCCTCATCTGTTGTTGCATGTTTGACTGTGTTCACAGAGTTGTTGCCTGGCAATGCATTGATCAAATCTGTTACAGTATGTATATTTGTTGACAAACTGTGAATGGTCCTATTGACCACATGTTGTTTCTTTTAATATTGTTACTGTTACTGCCAACTTTATTGTTGCTGGCTCTGTAGAAGTGGGCAATTTTAAATCACCTGCTCCCAGGGAAAAAAGTGTTACTCCACCATTAAAATGTGCCTATCAAACATAGTATTAGAAGATTTAAAATCTCTGTTCCCATACAGTGAAAAGTTAATTAGTAGCAATATTAGTAATATTGTCTAGGACTGTGATTATAAATTGCATCAATGGCAAAGCCATTCTTCAAGAGAGATACTGTTTTAAATACAGACACATCTGATCATAAAGAGATATGTATTACAAGTATGCCATGCATCCATATTTTGGGGCAGTGGGACATTTTAAAGTAATTTAATAATATATATTCTTTATGATTTTTGTGTGAAGTAGAAATCACAGTGTCCTGTATAGGTAAAACGTAAAGCTATCTGTGTAACAGGCTGTGGAAGTGCATAGGGTTGTGAGACATCGAGGCTGTCACATTTTCTACACCATTGGCTCACAAATGGCGATGAGATTGTAAGCCTTGCACACCAGCCACCCCTTACCCCCAGGAAGATTCCTGGTACTCATTTCCGTCAGAGGCTGAGTTGACCCCAGAGCCATAATGCGTCTGGAAGGATTAAGTCAATTGAAAAATCCAATGATCTCATCAGAAATCAAGCCCTCTACCTTCTAGCTTGTAGCATAATGCTTCAATGAACTATGCTACTACATGTCTCATCCTGTGTAGACCATAATGAAATTTGTGTAGTAGCTTTCAGGGTTAACTCTGCACATTTAGATTCTGACTTTTGCATTCCATGTCAGTACCTATATCTGGACCATCACTCAATGGACTCTTTTACTGTCTCCAAGTATGTAGCTTTGAATGGTATGATGATGGCGAGAAATAAATTAGAATGGATTTGGAATGATGCATTCATAGCCCGATTTGAGGTACTATCCTAACACTGGCTTGGAGGAACTGAGGAAAATCACATGAAATGTTAGTCATGATAGGCGGTGTCCCCACCAAGATTTCAGCCAAACAGCTAGTGTGATTCATGCAATATTCATTAAAAGGAAACATAGTTGAGGAAGTTATGCAGTCAGTTTTATTATTTGCCATGGTATTTTGTTACATGATGACACAAGACGTATGTTACAGTGTTGAGAAACGATGGACATAAGGAATCAGTTTCACTAAAATATCAACATGAAGTTATATACCACAGATAAAATAAAATTTTAGTTGTCATGGCATAGGAGTGGCCTGTGGAGCATTTATATACACTACGGCTGTAGGGAAACAACAAAGTAGGTAATCTAAAATTTATATTTTAATAGCGCAAGTGCAATATTAGGATGTGACGACATAATTTTTGTCATCATGTTTGTGTTTATAGAAAACATGAGACTGTTAAGATTATGATACTCTGGGATGTGATGCCATGTAGTTCAGTAGATAAGTACCATCATTTTGAAGGAACCTGCTACCTCCATCTTCAGGGTAGTGGTATTTATGTACCAAATTACATGGCGTTACATTCCAGAAAATTGTAATCTTAACACCTGCTGCTGTGAAAACAGTATCATTAGGAGACCATTATCTCAGACATGCAGTAAAAATCAGAACCAAATCATTCTCAGTAAGAGCTAAAACAATAAACATTAAATAAATATAAGTTGACATCATGTATAGTGAAGTCAGTATATAAAATGGTTCCTTGTCTGAGTGGCAATCTTATTCAATAATGAAAAATATTGTCTTGTGGGATATGACCCCATGTAGTCTGGTAGAAGTTTACCAACATTTTTGAGGAATGTACTGGCTTAATCATTAGGGTAAGTCAGGTAAACAGCGAGCAGAGTCTGTACTTACTTGCCCGGCTTACTCTTTGACCCTGAAGATGGAAGCAGCATGTTTTTCCAAGACATTGGTGAACTTGTACAAGATTGTATAATGTCACATCTCAGAAGACAGTACTCTGCAGTCCTTGTTGTGAGAACCCCAAGTCTCTTATTTAAACATATTTCAAGCGGTCACTGTAGCGTAGACATAATATGTTTTCTGTTATATAGGAGCAGAAGTTTAAAATGAGATTTTGAGCTGTGAAGGTTAAGGTAGTGTTACTAAATGTAACATACCAATCCACATTTGACCTAACCAGGAACGAGCAGTGCAGGATAAAAAACCAGCTCATAATTTGCACTCCAATGCAAAGTGATGTACATAGTCACACAATTTATATAATAATAAGTATTCACGATTTGGCAATACAAATATACAGCAATATTTATCGTAACATATTAGCAATATTTATCGTAACATATTTTATAAAATTAACTGGCATATAGTCATGGAAAATAATACTTTCACTTTAAATAATTCAGTACTATTCTAGAGCTGACAGACACTTTAATTAACCTGCTAATATAGTGTAATAGTGTTTAATGTACATTCATGTTTCAGTGACTATTAATGACATCCATAAGTGATGATACATTATTACTGATTTGATGCAAAATTACACTTTATGAAGAGTACAGTCTCTTTGGTTTGTAGTGCTGTGTAGCTCAAAGACAGCCTAATATTTCAGAGGAACATACTGTCTCCATCTTCATGGTTGAAGATTAAGCCAAGCAAGAAGCTCAGCTTGCCACATCATTGTGCTGGTTTCACCTTACTATTTCAGCCTGAAGATGGAGGCAATATGTGCCCATAGATTGTCCGGCTGTCTCCGAATAATGTGGCATTACAACTCAGAAGACCAGCCTCAAATCAAATATTCTTTAATTACATTTGATAATTAATTTTTGTGAAAAACTGAAGAGTTGGATTCAAACTAGTTTGTCACCCTGGCATACTGGTTAATTTTAAGTTCATGTGTAGTTTTCTTTTCTTTTTTCCCCCCCTTTTGGGGTGGAGTGAGGCTGAGTCCACTTGGTATATCGGCCACTAAATGGCCTATCGTACCAGTCCCAAATGATAGATGATGAGTGTGGAGCAGTCAGTGGAATTAGAATTGGCAGGGGAAACTAAAGTACTTGGAGTAAATCTGCCTCAGTGCCACTTTGTCCACCTCAAATCCCACATGACATGACCTGGGCTTGAACCTGGGCTACCACAGTGGGAAGCCAGTGACTAACTGCCTAAGCTATGGCATGGCCAAATTCATGGGTAAATTTACCTTTACTATAAGAAGTATCTGGGGGCAACGGCAGCGTAATTGGTTGAGGCGCTGTGCTACAAGTCGGAAGGTCGCGAGATCGAATCCCGATTGAGTCATTTGATTTTTCAATTTACCTAATCCTTCCAGCCGCACTATGGCCCTAGGGTTGACTCAGCCCCTAACAGAAATGAGTACCAGGAATATTCTTTGGGGTGAAGGGTGGCCGGCGCGTAGGGCTGACAACCTTACTGCCATCTATCAGCCAATTGTCTAGAAAAATGTGGGAACCTCAACATCTCACAACCCTATGAGCCTCCATGGCCTGTTAGTTAGTTATTGGAGAGGGTGGGTTTCCCCATGCACTGAGACCTGTATTGGTCCATTGTGCTTCCCTCTATGATTTTCTACCAGTCTCTATATCCTACCAGTACTGGTGCTTACCATCAGTCCCGCCCAGCCAGCGAGACCGGCTCTACTAGCTGAGAGGTATCTATAATGCTTCCCCCATCTACCAGAGGTATTAGAGACTTCTGTTGGGCGGGAAACATCCGTTAATTTGGCTCAGTGACCTCCTTTGGAGATATGAGGTTCTTTTACGTGCCGTAAAGCTACGACACGGGACCCACGGCTTAAAGTCCCTCCCAGAGGACTTGTTCCCTGAATTTTTCCGCCCTTAAAAATTCGACGACCTCCGCCGGGTATTTGAACCCGCGTACTACGAGTCATGAGGTGGGAACGTTACCTCTAGACTACGGAGGCCGCTTCCATGGCCTGTTACAGGGAAGCCTTTACTTTTACGATAAGACGTATCTATGGCAATGAGACCAGAAGTTTTCTTAACTGACTTAACTGGGGCTTGATGGGTTCTGTTTTCTGGGGTGTAATGCTGTGTAGTAAGGCCTACTTGCTTGGCTTACTCTTTGGCCCTGAAGCTGTAGGCCATATATGCCTCCGAAATGTTGGTGAACTTGCACTGGACTAATGGTGACACATCCCAGAAGATGTACTCTTCATAGTAACCTTTGTGAGAACGTCAAATGCAACATAATTGTGTCTTGTTAACACATCCACTGCCACAGGTTTAAATTCCAGTTGAATTCAATGGGCAAATCAGCCATCATTCTACGGACTAACACATTTCAGTTGAGAATAAAGAAACTGAAATATATATTTTGGTTTCTCAAACCACACATCATGACCTATGAATGTAATGTGGTAAACACAGAACACAGTGGAACCCCCATGTAATTTTCGTTGATTGATGGTTTTGCCTTATTCAGTGTTCATCATTTTAATGTTCAATGAACCCAAGTCTCTCAGTGGAAAATTTCCTTCCTTATCAGTTAGTGTATAATTCTGCTGCTCCCCAAAGAAATCATAAGTGGGGGTTTCAGCGTATAATCAAGAGAGACTGTAATGTCAATATTCAGTCTTGGCAGTGAATACATTAACAGTGCATCCAGAACAATGTAGCTTTAATTAAAATGGCCTTTATGGACAATAAAACCGATTTATTCTTATGGTGGTCTGTCATAATAATTAGCATTTACTTTATATTTTTGTGAATCTTTTGTGATCTGTTGAAACTCTCAATCCATAATTGGAAGATTATATTGCCCCATAGTTGGAAAATTCTACATTGATGTCTCTTCAGTCAGTAGGATGACTGAAGAAATGACTGTCATGAGATCGTTACATCCTCCTCCATATATGTCTTGTGAAGGCGCAGTGTGCTGACGAGTAGAGTGTATTGTATTTCCACTTCAATCCCCAACCAGCTGCAGCCATCAGAGACTGTAATTAGTACCTGGTTTTTGTGCCCAGAAGGACACTATACTTCTGCAAGTACTTTGATAAGGGGCCTTGCAGCCACGGGTGTAATACGTTGTGTGTGATGCGATTCGGAAGGCTCATGATGGGCTGAAATCTGTGCCACCTGTAAACAGCATTTCAAATTCATATTGATAATACATTGTAATGAGTCAGAGGAAAACTTAGTTTCTCTATATTTGGTACAGTCTCATTAATATACAGTCAGGGTCATGATATTATGTATTATGACATTAACCTTTCATTATTCTGTGCTTCTTTATCACCCGGGAGTATAAAATTTTAAATTCTCTTGTACCACAGGCTCGCAGCCAGATTTTAACTTGGCAGTAACTGTATCGGTATTGAAAAGATGCAATACTTGGCCAACCAGACCACATGCAATCAGCATTACAAAAGTACAGTGAAGGCCAATAAAGTTTAAAAAAAAGAGATAGCCACCTCTCTCACGCTTTCCAATTTGACTTCCTCTTGTCTTGCTCACTGCAAATAATAAGCACCATTAATCAATGAACAGTCCTAGTGTTGTTCCCATCCCAGGAGGTCACACAGCTGCCACTTTGATAATATTGGGGATGGGTTAAGAAGTACCAAGACTGAATGTCCTCCAATGCCTTAATGTCCATACAAGGTTTTGAGAAAAATAATTCCTTCCATGCTGGGTTCTTTTTTTTTTTTTTTGGAGGTGGGGGTGCTAATTTTGAATAATCATTTTAGAGGGTGGATATGAATGTCTGTAACCTAACCTGATTTGACTTAACCTGACTTAACATGTTATGGACATATATACATGAGTGTGTGTTGTGTCCACACACTCATGCATGTGCATGTGTGTCTATGTCTGTAGCATGGAAAAAGTTAATCAGAATCAGGGGATAGATGGAAGGAAGGGACATACACGAAGCTTACTAATAGGTTCTCATTATGTCAGCCTAAAAGACATGAAGACATTTGAATACACTTTTTCTGTCTACATATTATGCTTATTATACTTGTATCAGCCAGGTTTCTCACCTTTCCTCACCTGAGTAGCCTTGATATAGATCAGTGCATTATGAAAGTAAATATTAACCCTTTCCTATCCTTTCTATTTCCAGCCTGAGTCGTAACTTGCATGAAAATTAAAAATAAAGTATTTTGGTATGGGAAAATATAAAATTCTGTTGTTTGTATATGCAAACTGCAAGAATTATAAAGGAATATAAAGAGCAAAGATGTAACACTCAGCATGGAATCATAATGCAGTTGTAAATTTGCAGAGTTACTTTTGTGGAAATCTTCCAGCAAGGAATATGAAAGGGTTAATAACCTGTTACACTATTTGTGACAATTTCCTGATTAATGTTTCTAAATGAGAGAAGTAGTGTGTAACAGGGAGCAGCAGAGACTAGTGCTTGCGTCCTACCCTGTAGTTGCGACACCTCTTGACCAAGTCGAACCTCCTGTAGCGGAGACAGTGCCACTGTGGGATCTGCTGCATGTTCCTCAGAGCCTGATGGCACAGAAACAGAACTTGAATACATTTTCAGTTCAAGCAGAAATGAATATTTAGTCACGTTCAATTTGTAGTACATGTCCTCCTTCAGCACCTTATGCATAGTCACTTGATCCAGATCATTCATGTAGGATTTGAGGTTCTCACAGCAATGGCTATGAAGAATTCTATCTTCTGGGATATAATGCCTTGTAGTCAGTGAAAGTCAATGGATGTTTCAGAGAAAACAGAGCTGCTTCCTAGCAATTTCTTGCGCCGTTTACTCTTCAGCCCCAAGATTCTTAATGATATTAATGATATTTTGCTCAGAAACATTGGTTGACTTTCACTGGACTGCACAGCATTATATGCCAAAAGACAGAACTCTTCAAGACAGCTCATGTTGTATAACCCAAAGGTTCTTGACTCTCAACACTAAATCTTTCCATTTGGCTTTATATAAGCCTTCCCACTTTTCATGAGATTTTCAAAACAAATTGAACCTTTATGTAGAGCTTTTGAAACCTTTGATAGATTCCGTTGAACTTGGTATACAGCACTTAAACAAATATCACCATGTGTAACTTTGTTCAGTTAAATTTTAAGGGACATTTTATATCTGGACCTATTGGAACATACATGATTTACCTCCATTGACAGACAATGATGACTGGTCACATATGACACTTCTGTTATGTGTTTACTGTCAGGTCCAAGTTTCACTTACATAGTTCATTTTAAGAGCCATTACTTAAGAGACCGAAGCAGATTTGTATGTATGTGAGTCCTTTGACAGAATTTCAGTTTGAAATCCATATTGCTTATTGGTCTAAAACATATATTTTGGCATATGTGACCATGTATAACCTACGAACAAAATTATATGACTCCCATAATGTACATGTTCTTCTTGTACAACGTTATCATAACTGTCACTGATAATATAACCAATTGTGTTTATGCTACTGAAGTATATGTGATGTGGCTAGAAAGATCCAAGAATGGCCATAGTGGAGTGCTGCTGTCACATCCTAGCCTGGACCTGTTAGTTCATGTTGTAATATGTTCTTTCAGCTGTGTTTGAGTGCTTGCGTGTTTTGTGTGCATTTATTGTGTGCTTCAGTTTTAAATTAAATGAATGTTTTGTGCTTCAGTGATGTAAACATGTCTGGTAATTTTTGGAATGGTGCTTTAATCTCAAATTTCTGATGAAACTAAAAAAAAAGTCATCGAAAGTTGCATATCATTAGAAGAAGTTTATTGACAGTCTGCAGTGCTGAAAGGATGAGTTCCTGAGTGGAATATACGATTTTCTGAAGGAAGAAAAGATCTCCATGATGATTCTCAATTGGCCAGCCGACAGCAATGAAAACTGAAGAAAGTGTTGACATTCATATTGAAGTATGATTGTTGGAATGAAAGCGGAAGAACTGGGGATAGATAAAGAGGGTAAAGAGGGTGAGGTAATTTGTGATACAGAAACAGAGTCTACTCTCGGAACATCCTCTGTGTTCTCCTGATTTGGCTCTGAGTAACTTCTGTCTGTTACAAACTAAGAAAACTTCACTGAAGAGGACACATTTTGGGTTACAGGAGGAGTGCAGTATCATGCACTAAAAGTGATATCACAAGAGACATTTCAGAAATGCTTCTAAATATAGCCAAAAAGAACAGCGTAATGTATGGCTCCCAGGGGAAGGGCTCTGAAGAGGACAACAGTAGTTAGTTGGTAAGCTGAATTTTAACTGCAGATGAGGTCACTGGATTTTTTCAATTGATCTAATCCTTCCAGCTGCGCTATAGCCTCTGGGTCAACTCAGCCTCTAACAGAAATGAGCACCAAGACTGTTCCTGGGGGTAAAGGGTGGCTGGCATGTAAAGTTGACCTCACCACCATCTGTTATCTGATGCCTAGAAAATATGGGAGCCTCAGCGTCTCACAATGCTATGGGCCTCCATGGCCTGTTACAGGGATATCTTTCCCTTTTTTTACAAAGTAATTTACAAACTTTCTAGACACCTGTCATGTAACTTAAATTTACCCAACAAGAAGCATGAACAACGATAAATAAACAAAGGAGAGAAATTAATTACAAACATATAGTTCAAGCTCATATAATTTAAAAGGGACTGTGTATACTTTGACAACAGAAATGATGTATGTAAAGCGAGTACCACCCCAATTTGTCAATTTATGCCCCCCCTCCCACCCCCAGTTCTCCTAACTGGCAGGCCGTACACACATGGCTTTGTCTACACAATGGTTAAAACCCCCTTCTTTACTGGAAGAAAAGCATTGAAAAGTCTGCGAACTTGATCCAGGCTGAAGTGTATAGTGTGGCCAAGAAACTGACCTGCAATTTTCCTGCCAGGAGGCAGGTTACATTTTCATGTATGAAAAGACCTGTTATTTGAATACATATGAATGCCGTTCCAAGTTGGTTAACTGTTGATTCATGTGAGGAGGAAATATATAATCATACATCTTTGAGGAAAAGATCAGATTTACTTAAGCAGTAGACACCACCATAGTTCTAACCCATTCTAAATCTGTGTGTTCGTATATGGGGAGGGAAAGTTAAATAATTTTGGTTGAAGTTTTTGGAACAAATATGAATGGATCCTGTATGAATGTCACAGCCTATGTATGCTTTATGCCCCACTCAGCACAGCCTTCATGATCTGATCATGCAAGTAATAGTGGATGAAGAGTAAGAGATACAGAGTGCCCCATTATGCAATTTTCGTCTGCTCCTTCATTACTGCTCATGTCTGTGAATTCTCTGTAGCACTTTGTTCTCAAATAACTTCAGTCTGTGATCTTTCCTTGAGTCGAGGGACAGAGTTACTCACATATAGCAACAGGACAGATGTTATAATTTTGTATGTTTTAAACAGGAGATGGGAGACCTAGACATAGATGGGAGAATAATATTAAAATGGGCCTTACAGTAATAGGATGGAGTTGTATCGATTGGATTCATCTGGATCTGGATCAGGACCATTGGAGGGATCTAGTGAACAGGGTAATGAAGCTTTGGGTTCCACAAATGTTGGGAAATTCTTGAGTAGCTTAGTGACTGGTGGCTTGTAAAGAAGTACTTAGTTGGTTGGTTGGACAGCTTTTGTGATTGCACCGTACTCTTTATGATGAGAAAGGAACATGTACATTGTTTCAGCCACATTTACTCCTAGACCAACCTCCACACTGGTGTCTAATCTTGCTTGTGCCTCTAAATTAACACCATCAGCAGAGACCTTGTTTGAACTGTAACTTTTGTAATGTACTTGTTCTGTAAATGGTCTCCTTGCTCATGCACTGTGAGACCCTTGTGTGATCAGCTAATGTAAAGTAAACTAACCCCTGGTGACCCAGCCTACAGATTAAATGCCACTGCCTTGATCTTGGACCACTTTAAAACTTCTTTTAGCCTACTTTCCTAAAGTAGGCTTATGTTATCTCCATGCTGTCTGTGTGGCTCTGTATCCCCTCCCTCCATCAACTTTTGAATGCCTGAGCCAATCTGTATGAAACATGGTATGTATGAAGAAGAGTCAATGAAAAGGCAGCAAATGGAAGTAAATGTAATGGATGTAATAGGCTTTCTATTTTATCCCTACGTATTAGCACAGTCTAGGTAGGTAGCAGACGCACATGCGCATGTTCAGAGGCTAGTTTCAGTAGTCAAAATGGCGATCGTGCTTGAGAAGTTTATTACCGAGAAGCAGCTTCTGTTGTTTGTTTTTTTATTGACAAAAGGACTCAGTGTAAAAAAATGTTCCCTGTTTACGGTGGGAAGTGTTTGTCGCGTAAAGCGGTTCACAACTGGGTGGCAAACGTTTCGCTGACGATGAAGAGGTTGAAACAGAAGTGCAGAAGTGGCTGAGACCACAGTCAAAAGACTTCTGCGCCGTGGATTTCGACGCATTTTTAAAGCGATGGAACAAGTGTGTCAGTGTTGGTGGAAGATATGTCGAGAAAAAATATTTTTTGCGGGTTCGAATGTTACATGTTTCACGTTTTTATATGTATTTTTGACCTATTTATCGAATCTACCTCATATATCGTGGTACCTGGGCAACCCATCTTAACGGCGTACTTCATAAATCCCTCCCCTCAGTCTTGTGCGTATGTGTAACCCTCCTCTCGTTGCTAGACAAAAGCTTGGTAAACACGTTCCCACTGCAACGATACATGCAACAATAGAAGAATTGTTAGACGCGTGTATCTGTCGCTCTGCTTGTGTATCCCTTATCGTTGCTGGGTAACAACTCGGTAAAGACGTTCGCGCGGCAACGAAGTATTGTTGGAGACGTCGTTTTCAGTGCGGTCTATGTATCAAAGGAAAGTATGTGATCAGTTCTTCCGGGAACTTCTTGTTGTGAAATGTTTTACAAAGCCATCAATATATGGACTAGAATGATATGAATTGGAAAGGATTTTGAAGGAAGCGGTCGTGGCCTAATTCCATATACTATACCGAAATTTGCCTTGAGGGACTGAGGAACACCGCGAACAATCTCATCGGGATAGCCAGCGTTTCGGCCACTTCCCAAGTAAGAGTCTAAAGCATTACTGCGACTCCAACCCGTTAGTTCGTACACGGGTTTCAAATGGTCACTTCCGTGTGGCTCCATAGAAGTTCCCTGTGTCCTGAACTCGAGTTGCACAATTATGCGGTCGAGTGGGTGACACCCCTGCTTGATTTTCCGGTTGTTTCGGATTCCGACCATGATTCGCATATCTTCATTGGCGTTTTTCCTATCCCCCCCCCCCGAGTCTCACTGCAAATGCCACGACAGTACCCACATTTAGTCGAAATATCCTTCTCTCTACGTGTTTTACAATTCTCTGCGGGCTATTTACGACACCGTCAGTATCCGGAGCATACAGCTGTGATCTTCCTAATTAATTGTTCACTAATCATCCCATCGTTTGACGTCATATAGGCCGATACACCGGTAGTGACGTGAGCTACATCTGGAATTCATTGTTGCCCCGACACTAGAATGCGAGA